GTTCTTTTAACTTATAATGTCTCGGTCGATATAGCGAGATGGAAGTTTTCTTAAGTGCACGGCAAAGTGCAATGCTACTTTCTGCAGTATTCCGTATTAAGGTATGTAGTATAGTCCGTATTAAGGTAGTAATTGTGAATAAAAGGACAATACGTTACTGCTTTGGTGCAATTGGGTTTAAACAAGCCAAAATTGTTGTTAAAATCAGACTCATTCGACAGTCACTTGTGCAAACACACAAATAAGTGACAGCTTGAAAAAAATAACAGAAAAATCATTTCGATTTTTTGGACAATTCTCCCTTCCCAGTACCCAGTTCTGAAAACCATTTTACACTTTGGTCGAATAGACTTTGAATCGGTATACCGACCGTAAAAATCGTTCACTCACTCCATTTAACATGCCTTTGAATTACTCCCTCTACACTCATAAATGCTTCTATATATAGGTTTATGTCTAATTATCTAGTTATATGAGGTTCTTTAATTAGTTAATTGATGAAGACTGCGTTTACTTTGCAGTGCTAAAGGAAATAAGAGAAATTAAACGATAGACCGGTTTCTTATAATGAAAAATGTAAAGAAAAGGTTACGTAGAAAGTAAATATAGCTTTTAGGTTTATAAAATACGTGTAATGATTAGTTGAAGCTAAGTTATACATATGTGAATAAAATCCCCAGATAGAAAAGTCTCAAGTAGGTACACTTTTACTTTTTCTGAACAGTAAGTTAGAACTTACTGTTCAGAAAAAGTAAAAGTAAGAATAGACTTTGAATCGGTATACCGACCGTAAAAATCGTTCACTCACTCCATTTAACATGCCTTTGAATTACTCCCTCTACACTCATAAATGCTTCTATATATAGGTTTATGTCTAATTATCTAGTTATATGAGGTTCTTTAATTAGTTAATTGATGAAGACTGCGTTTACTTTGCAGTGCTAAAGGAAATAAGAGAAATTAAACGATAGACCGGTTTCTTATAATGAAAAATGTAAAGAAAAGGTTACGTAGAAAGTAAATATAGCTTTTAGGTTTATAAAATACGTGTAATGATTAGTTGAAGCTAAGTTATACATATGTGAATAAAATCCCCAGATAGAAAAGTCTCAAGTAGGTACACTTTTACTTTTTCTGAACAGTAAGTTAGAACTTACTGTTCAGAAAAAGTAAAAGTAACTTCTTTCTTAAGGAGAGAATATATCCAATGATTTCTCCCGCCTTGGGCGAGGCGAGAGGGAGTGTCAGACTCTTACTGACTAACCACCCCGTTCCTACTGCTCCGAGTGAGCTGGAGCTCTGGCAACCCGATAAGTCTTCCGCGGCTCCGAGAAAAAGTAAATCTACGTCTTTTGTACTCCGAATGTAATCAGCATTGCTCAGTTATTTATTCATATTTATTACGAGACGAGGAAAACTAACAAGTAAAAAATACGACAATAATCACATAACATAACATAACATCACGCCTTTTATCCCCGAAGGGGTAGGCAGAGGTGCACATTATGCCACTGTACAATGTAACACCCACTTTTCACTATTTATGTTATGAGCCCCATATAATAGGGGGTGAGTCTATTGCCATATACCGGGCACAATTCGAGACTCCGTGCTACTACTGAGATTTTTTTTTAAAAACCCAGTATTAATTTGCCCGACCTGGGAATCGAACCCGAGACCCCTTGCCCGACAGTCGCGCTTGCGACCACTCGGCCAATGAGGCAGTCAATAATCGAAGTCGAGGCGAAGACGAGGCGACAATAATCATTAGTTGTGATTTTATATGTTGAAATCAAAATAACATCCAAGACAATGAATCTCAGTAACCAATAGAATTATTCAAACGGCGGCTCGCAACGAAATTAATGGTTGCAGGATTCAGACATCCACGTTGGAAACAATAAGTCATCTATGATCTATACAATAGTATGTTGGATTCAGATAGTTACGTCATTTTCTGAATAGTAGAACAGTACAGACAGCACATCAAGGCAACACTACTACAGTAGGTCTTTTACTTTATCATCAAAATGATAAGGTTGAAAATCTGTTAGGGTCTACTTAGATAGTCTTGGTGGTTCCACAGTCCAAGTGATTTTGGGGTCCAACCTTGACTAACCCACATTCGTTTTTAGCTTTTTCAAATTCCACATTTCTTCTTCACGAAGGCTAACTGCTATATTGCAGTTGAAAATATTAAGAAATAGATACAAGAATATTTTTTACAATAGTGTAGGAGCAACCTAAGGTAAAGAGGCTAGCAGATCAATTTACTTTAATCTGTCAAATTAATTCATTGAGTTTTCTAATTAATTTATATCAATACAATAGAGAATATGTACTTTTTTATGGGATAAGCCGGAAACCGAGGGTACAGATCACCTGATGGTAAGCAATCGGCGCTGCCCATGGACAAAGCGTACAAGTGCGTTACCAGCCTTTTGGGGATTCGGAATTTGAGGATTGTTGGGGATTCAGCGATTGGGGAAGGGGGTGGGGAATTGGGCATTCGGTAACCTCACTCACAGTCACACAACGAAACACAACGCAAGCGTTATTTCACGTCGGTTTTCTGTGAGGCCGTGGTTTCACTCCGGTCGAGCCGTATTAGAGAAAAGGATAAGTTAACTTCCTGGCCATCGAAGTTAAAATTACTATCATTGTCCAGCTCCTGAATTTTTCCTACGAATCTTTCTAATCTCAACAAAATTGGGACTGAGTCTAATTGAGCTTTACCGTACACTAAATTGGTTTCTTTTTTGTTTGACTTATAGTTTTCAATTAAAGTTAATTGGTTATTACTTTAACAAGTTGGTTTAGATTTCAAGAAAAAACCTGTAGGATAGAATGGAAATATCGCTTCGTTGGAGATGGCTTTTTCATTACCTTATGATTTGTTTTATTTTAATAGAAAGATGGCTAGTTTTTTTTATGTAAGTATTTGGAGACTGTTGATATAGTTTTCTTTAAAATCATACTGTTTTTTAGCCTATAAATATTTAGCTCCAAGTTTTTATATTGACGAAGTCTGTTTGTCACTAACGCCATTATTAGTACTCAAAATCTGATATTCGATGCTGGCTCGCTGGATAAGGCTGCATGCCTTGTATAGTATTTTGCCACCATCATCGGGAATTCCATCCGGACCTGCCACTAACTAGTTAAGCACTGAACAGTTATTATTACTAACACTAATTTGTAAGCTCGCAATTGTACTAACACATATGGGTGTAAATCTGAAATAATTAATGATAATTTATTTTTTAAAAAATCAATTTTTCAGTTTGATCAAACTCATCATACTGACGTTCTTTTTCAAATTCTAGTAAGTTTAGTTGAAGGTCTAAAAAATAAGCGTATCAAAATACGTAATTGTAGGAACGGCGCTTCAATATAATTTCCGAAGCAAACATTCCATCATTAATCAAAGAGCAACTAATTATAATTAAACGAGAAATCTTCGCTGTTTACCCACAAAACAGAACATCTGCTATCTAAACTCCATTTCGAGGAATTTCCGCCATCAGAAAGATTTTAGCGTCACGATTAATAACGGTGCTAATGAAGACCGATTGCGAATACATTTTGGATAATTAGCAGATAACTTAGATACACTTAGATCGGTCTATTTATTCTTTGGAGATTTTTCTATTTATTAAATAAATTTAGATATGTGAGCTGAAGACTGTGTGCAAGTCGCAAGTGCGACTGCCAGGCAAGGGGTCTGATTTCCGCGTCGGGCAAAGTATTATTGGGCTTTTAAACCAAATCTCAGTAGGTGCACGGAGTTTGGAATCGTTCCCAGTATATGGCAAAAGGGGGTAAGTCTATTACATGGGGCTCATAACATCAATAGTAAAAAGTGGGTGTTACATTGTACAGTGGCATTAAGTGATCTAATTTGCACCTCTGCCTATCCCTTCGAGGATATAAAGACGTGATTGATTATGTTATGTTGACGCTAAGGCTAAAAAAAATGTTGAATAGACACTTGTAGTACCAAAAAGTAACGCGTAAAAGCTTTAAATAAATATGAGCACGACACGTCAGCCAATCTCATAACATTTTTACTTACATCGCATCGTTAAAAATAATATTCTTGGTAAGTACAATATAATATTCATTGATAGTGTGCCAACAGAACCAAGAACTTGCTTTCATTGTGATCAAATTCACCTCATGCATTGAAATGCAAAAATATTCTCTTTGAATAAGTTACCAGTAGGATCAATTTTGATTGCACACATACCCATATCCATTCGGCTCTCGGTTACGATCCCAGTTTATTTTGCAAATAGCAATTTATCTAATGGAACATCTTCGTGTTTCGTTCCGTGAATTGAATTAATTAACTTATACAAAGCTCGGGGTATAAGCAAGATAGAACGAACTTGTCAAAACTATCTCTGTGCAGCCGCCATGTTTACGAGTGGCTGCCAACTTTTAATTTACAGCTTTGTATAATTTATAAAGCACTTCGCTGGCACGTAGAATTTTTCTCCTTGTTCCAGTAACTCAAATAAAACCTTTGATAAAAAATGAACTCGGCTCAAAAATGAATTCCGACCTATCAAGGAAGTTTTACAACACAACAGTCGTTCTGAACGACTTAATATATTTTTCTCGGAATCTCGTTTATACCCTTCTTTAATCACATAAATCCTAAAAGTTACTCCAAACTCGTCAACAAGAGGCGCGTCGTTTTGAACTTTTTCTTTTTCAATAACAGATTTGGCGCCTCCGAAACCGGTTGTTTCACTTTCCATGACTGCATGTCCATCGGCCGCTGCAGACAAGCGAATCATCTCAACGAATGAGTCAGAACGATCAATTTTTTGGGTGCTTTCTCCCACACCTGCCCGAAAGGGGCACGGATCACGGATACGAACACTTTCCACTGGGGGGAAATGGGAGCAGCGTTTTGCATGGCCTTGATTCGAGAAGGCGAGCGGTGCCGCTTCGCACCGACATCCACCACGCGATCAGTCTTTGTCGAGCGTTCGTGCACAGTGTACGCGTCGAGCGAAACTTGGTTCGGCGAGAGCGATCGGCGCGAGTGTCACTCAGTGCTACAAGTGACCAAACAAAGTGAACGCAGTGATTTAACCATTCGGAGGATACCCACGAGCAAATCTGGAGCGATACGTTAACTTTAGGAGGTGTGTTCCATTCAATATTACTGTTTATTAGTTTCGCACGCGGGATCCGATTGTTTATATTTGTTTTGTGAATGAGCGTTGCGTCCATTGAGCTATTGAATGATATTTTTATGGTTCCAATGGCTCGACAGGGTTTCTCGTACCGTGGGCATTTCTTAGTTACGATAGCGTCTCATGCGAATCGCAAAAAATGTGAAAGTAATTTGACGTGTGGCCCGCGTAAGATAGTGTGCGGTGTCTTTATCGCGATGTGGTCACGGTTGTCTGCGGCGGACTTATTTATTGTATTGTACAATTAATGGCTGAGTATGGAAATTAATTTTCTAATATTCCCATTGAAGTTTTGGCGAGCACCATAAATCCGAGGAATGTAATTAAGATTTAAGTAATAGTTTTCTTTTGTTCGTGTCCCGGCTTTATAATCGTTTAATGCCGAATTTGCATGAGAAGTGAAATAACTTGGCTTGATGGAGATATTAACCTGAATAATTCATAACATTAATCATTCAGGGGATATTCGTGATCACGAAAGACCTTCTGTTGGTATTTTCAGTGGTAATTAATTTTTGAGAGATAATTAAGTGGATACGATTAATCCTAAGATAAGACGGTATGAAGTTGATTGAGAGGCAGAAACAGTTGAAAATTAATTAGATACTAATAAACTTAGACGAACAACCATTTCAGTACCTACATGAAAGGATACAAAAGCAGCGTGTTAAAGATGAGTGCAGACTACACAAATTATGGTTGTAAAGCTGCTAATTTAAATGGAACAGAATATATATAAACTAATCAGTACATAGCTTAGCATGATATAGAAAATAATCAAACAATACATACATATACGTACTTTTGTTGGACATCACGCCAGATTATAAGTCATAACCTTTTTATTAAATAAATAAAAAATAATAATAAATTCATTGTCATTCCATTCAAACAATACATAGATACAACTGTCGATGGGTAGACAAGTACCTATAAATCCATGTTCGGCTGTATTGGTTTAATTATTTAATTAAAATTAATTTTGATTGACTTGTGGGTTGAACACTGACTGCTACAAGATCAAAATATTGTTTGAAAATTTCTGAAACAATACCTGAAATTGTAATAATTATCAGTAATCTATCTGTCTCATATGAGAAAGGGACAAGCCCATTAGTAAATACATTTTTTTTACTATCATAAATAACTACGCCTTCGAGCAAAAACAGGCAAGATAGTACAATGTAAACTTTCTCATTAATATTTCCACTTATGCTTGAAATAACTTGTAAAAGTAATTACTAAGCATTAACCTAGTAAGTATTAAGACTTGTTTATTTATTGAGATCTAGCACTCCTCCTGCGGCGTCACTCGCTACCGGAATCAAAAGTAGGTAGAGTCGGTTCGCCTATTCGCGTCCACCTATCAGTTAGCGTACATGTTACGAAACGCCCTTTAAAATTAGAAAACTATCACCATTTAAGGAGTATTTAATTCAAGTTTAAATCATCTTATACTTATGGCAACCCGTAAAATGGAGGCGGACTGGTAGGTGGACGGACGCGAACAGAAGAACTTTAGCAGGCTAGACGCGGATAGGTGAACTTACCCTAGTATGTTGATCTAGGTCATGGACTATTTATGTACTGAAATTCGTTTACTTTCCTTATGTAATGATATGGTAACAAATATCCATCCAATTTGCTCTATTAATATGTTTTTGTTCTAATAAGCAGATATTTTAGTCGCCATGTGGTCCTCTCATAGAGTTGCTTACGACATAATATGTCTTTAGAAAACAATATTTACACTAAGCTTGCCTCAATCACACTCATAGACAACTAGCTTCTGCCAGCGGTTTCTTCGATTCTTTAATGCCATAAGCCGGTAGACGAGCTGACGGATCACCTGATGGTAAGCAATCGGCGTCGCCCATGGACACCAGAGGCGTTACAAGTGCGTTACCGACCTTTTGAGTATGAGGAATTTGAGGATCGTTGGGGACTCAGGGATTGGGGAGATTGGGGAAGGGGAGGGTAATTGGGCCTCCGATAACCTCACTTACACGACGAAACAACGCAAGCGTTGATTCAAGTCGGTTTTCTGTGAGGCCGTGGTATCACTCCGGTCGAACCGGCCCATTGGTGCCAAAGCATGGCTCTCCCACACTACGAGAGTGTGATGTAAAATACCCTATGTGTTATTCCAGACCATAGTCTACCCCTGTTCCGAATTTCATACCGATCCCTTCAGCCGTTTTGGCGTGATTAAGTAACAAACATACACCCAAACTGATGAAAAGAAATAACAAAACTAAAGGAAGTTCAGTTGTTATCGCCTTAGCAATACATCTGTGATCATCTTCGACAGTCATGTGTTCATATTTATAAGGTTCGTAACATTAAAAGAACTGATTATTTTTTCACAATTCATTGAAAGCAGATCAAAAACGGATTTTCCACTTGACATCCTTAAACACAAAGCTAAAGATCCAATCAGATGTGACAATCCGCTTGATAAGGCATTTTCTTACAAAAATAATTCCACAGTCCTTTTACTGGAAAAAGTAAAAGTCGAAGATTGAAAGGAAATTGATAAAAAGGTGAACAAAAAACGTTCAAACGTTTCTAAGGTAAAATAATCGTTCGTAAAACATTTTGTTCCTCGTATATTTTTTCTGTTAGAGATGCCTTGAAATGGAGATAAGCTGAAACGAATTCATTTTCCCAGAAAAAAATGGCCACGTTCCGCTTTTTCGTTCGTTTATTCCAATACAAATATGCAAATACACCTAAAAATAGATGCTATTTTTGGATACGTGTTTATTCTGTTCACAAATATTTGCAGGATGCAAATTAAATAAACATATTAATGTCTTTACACAATAATAATAAATTGAAAAACAAGAGATCACAGTAAAACCGGGCATGTACATGTTGCACCGGCCACCAAAACCTATGACTGAACTACTGATCTGATATGAGTGCTAATAAAAATAATAAACAACTAAATAAAGCGAGAACTAGTTGATAAACCAAATTTACCTCATAAACAATGACATAACAGAGACGAATTTTGAAAATAAGCCGAGGAGAAAATGGCAGACATAATTGTATGAGACGATATTGAATTATGAAGCCTCTTTGTTTTGGAGTACATATATTATAAATATTATGTACATCGTGCCAGTGTTTGTCATCACATTACTGAATCTATACTTCCATACTAATGTGTGTGTCTGTATGTCCGTCTTTTATGGCAAAACGTAGTGACGAATTGACGTGACTATTTAAGTGTAGATAGTTGAAGGTATGGAAAGTGACATAGGCTACGTCACGGCTACGTCTCCGACAACAATTTAACTATTTTCAAGCCAGGAAGCTAAAAATTGGTATGCGAAACTTGTTACCAACACAAAAATATTGCATCTTTTCTTGTAAATCTGGCCCCAACCCCTTGAAAGAATGCGAGCGAAGCTGTAGTCAAAAACTAGTACTAAGATAAACATAACAGACGATGTTAATAAACTTGACGAGTAATTGCCTTTATCAGAACATAATGTGAACAATTTGATAGGTTAAGTGGAGACGTCTGTAATTGTCCTTTTGTATCGATATTGATTCTTTTAATAGAATCAGATGTCAGAGCAGCAGAGAGTTAATTTTCTATGGCTCATAATTTATGTAATAACTTTCATGAGACATAGTAAATTAATTACTATGTTTTTCGACTTACTCAGGTATTTCTTTGACGAAGAACTCGACTAGTTTCAAGCCATGCTAGAGGCTCATATCCAGTAGCAGCGCGACAGCCACCGCATCTCATCTCTCATATTTTGTTTATTGCAAATTTTGCTATACCTACTCATTAGCAGAACAGTTTCTGCTACGACATCTGACAGTTCTGAAATTATTACTATAAGCTGCAGCACATGTGATTAACTTAAATTGAATGTTATATTTGTATGTCTTCTCCTTTTCATTCAAATCCGACTCAAGACAATCATAATTATTATTTGGTGTTTCGTATATGAAAGTTATACGCGGCTTACTAGATCCCAGATCTAACCAAGGATCGCACTTTATTACAAAGTACAAAATGAATGTGTTTACGATCTTCTTCACCCACATTTTCACAGAAAAGACATGATCTCATGTAATCTTAGTCTTCCCTCACAAGATACCTATAGGTATGTGTGTGTATGTCGGTGTTTGTATGTAGTATCTAAGTATAGGTAATTTTGGCGTCCGTCCTTCCGTCCTTGATCGTCCAGACTTTGGATTGCTGTTCACCTAATTACTATGTATTAAGTAATTGTTGACAAGCTACATTTATAAAGGCGCTGTGGATGATTTGACCGCTCAGTTAAAAACCGACTAAATGCTTAAAAATAAGTGAACTGAAAAATAAGGCTGACATAGAAAAAAAACATGAATCAACCAACAGATGCAGAACAGTCATATGTAAGAGGATAGATAGAAGTGTAGAATATTCAAATCATAAAGGTTAAGAAGTCTTTTCGGACACTGAATGAACGCGGCAATCAAAGCCATAAATTGTAACTCCAATAACTTAAGATTATGAAACTTATAACTCAACAGACAAAATCGTGTCCAATCCAGATAATAGTATAGATACGAACAAGTTAATGCTATAACACAAACTTCAGTACTAACACTTTTGGCCGATCAAATTATTACAAAAGCCGAAAGCTAATTACTTTGCACAGAGCGTAAAAGTCGTGACCGTCAGAAATCTGTAAACATAGGCAACCACTGCTAATTGCCTAATTAACTAGAGCCATTACATCGAAAAACTGAACACAAAAAAACAACATCATTTATAACATTGTCTATTCAGCTTATAGACAATTTTATTGCCAAAATTTCATTAAAAGACCCAAGAGTTTACGTTCCTAAAGAATCTGGAATAGAATTTGAAATTAGGTCAAGTTCAAATTCTTATTTCATTTTGTAATTGAAATATCTTGCTCGAGATAGCTTTGATT